CCAGATACGGATCCAGATCCGTCAGTGTTTAGTTGAAGATATTATATCGATGACACCTTAATACCAGCTACGTCGTAAAAAGGTTCTGTGTGAAAAGGTGGAGAGACTGTTGGAGGGGTGCGATAAGTGGAATTTGTCCATCATTCTGGCCAAACGTTTTTGGGGACGGCGCAAGGTGGAATACCTAGTACATCAAATCTCGCTTACAGGTTTGAAAGCTGATCCGAAAGATCTGGAATCGATGGTGAATAACCCGTTTCCTCGGACACTGCGAGCGATGGAGTAATTTTTTGGTAAGTCTCAACTATGACATTAGATTTATTGAAGACTTCGCCATTTACGTATCCGTGTTGCACGAATTACAAGAAGCAGATTTTCATGAGATCAATCATGTTAGTGAAGCTCCAAAACCCATCTTCACCCTAAAGCCGGAGATTACTCATGAAGAGAATGGAGTGGGTGATCACGATTTGAATCGGAAATCGATGTCGATCGTTACTCAATTGCAGGAGACGATCACGATTCCGAGGGTAGAAATCGATGGAATTTCTAATGATCGCATATACATTTTTAAAGGCTAAGATAGCCACTACTCCGATTTTGAAACATTTTATCCCGATCGACCGCCTGTGATTGTAGTATATGCTAGTAAGTGAGCTGTAGGAGCTGCTTTGCTTCAATAATATGATGGCGTGTATTGGCTCGTCACCTTTTCGAGTCGCACGCTAAAACTTAACTAGGTTGACTACGGAAAGGTGGAGAAAGAGGTGTTGGCTCTCCTCCGGATGTTAGACATCCGTTATACTATGCTGGTATCCCGAGAGATTACGGTGCTTACGCGACACTCAACACTAGCGTGGTTACTAAAATTGTCAGGCTTTAACGGAAGATAAGGAAGATGGTCTGCTTTGTTATCGAACTAGACGCTGGAAATAAGGCGATCGGAAAAGGGAGAAGATGGAAAACTAGGCTTGCTGGCGGCAAGTAAAGCACCACGAGAAGAAGTTTTTTGGAGTATTGATTGCTATCGCCCCGAGAAAATAGCCAAGGCAGACGATCAACATGCCACCACCTACAGTGGGAGTGAAAGCAATCTAGCTAGTAGCCATTTTCGATGGATAAGCCTGCGTGAAAAGAAAAATTGGAGGAACTTACAGCGCGACTATTTGGAAACTGCCAGAATGGACGACTGTGGCTGCGGCTTCCGAGTTTACCCCTGACCTAACCGTGAATGAAGCAGGATATCGTGGGCTGTTCTTAAGTTTTGATTTGGTTGCTGATGAGGCAAGAGGACGTGTGATCATTTGTGGAGATTTAAATCTTGTGATTCATCAACTGCGAGGAGAAATCGACTGTAAAGCGCCGGGATTGCAGTTGCTGAAGCAAAGGGCTATGGAGATATTAAGATCATGGCAAACTCACGAGTTCCTACACATAAAGAGGGACTGGAATCAGAGTGAATATCGACTGGCGAGTGAGGCTCTACGGTAAGAGAAAGGGGTAATTGTTGTTCCAATCAAAAGCGTCAATACCTGGTCACTCTCAATTAACTAAATGAATTATACTACCCGAAAAATTCGATTTTCTGGTCAGAGTAACGTCTATCACTTGATCAGCCCAGAGAAGAAGTTGTCAGCCCAGGATTTTACAAGAAGAGGTGGTGCAGCAGATAAGGGTCAGTCGTATTAAGCAAAAGTAGAGGAAGTAAGTTGATATCGAGTCTGAAGACATATCTGGTTGGAGATATAGCCAAACTATCAGCCGCTGAAGCGAAGGTATGTGTCATGATCGCGCGGACTATAAAGTGGACTAAAGTGGACTGTTATTTTTCTGTCCGAGATCAGCAACCGAAGCTGAATATCGCACTGAACTGGCTCGGTTACTGGTTCCAGAACGATTACAGCTAGATCTCTTGCATCATTACCACACATGTTTGAAGGGTGGTCACCAAAAGGTTGGTCGTGCCTATCAGCGAATCAGATCGAACTTTCATTGGTGTGGATAGAGAGATTTCATGACGGTCTATTAACATGTGATTTTGTACAAGATGTCTGAAAACTCCGTAGCCAGGAAATCAAGTCCGGATCCGGAAGAGTTTCGTGACTGATACCCGGAGGAGCCCCGATGTCTCGGGGTGCTTGGGTAAAAAGTTCGATGCCGCCAGGCAAGATAGCCCCTTGGACGACGGTACCGATACCCCAATGCTCACGTTTAGCCAGCGCGAAGAGTTGACGAATCCCTGTCTCCCAAAAACGGGAGACACTATGCGATGCCGTGGTCAGCACACCCCTGAAAACCGCATCATTTCGCTTCTGCCATAAGTGGGTGAGGCACATGGTACTCATGAGAAACCAAATTCGTTTCCAGACGCGGACCCTTGCCGCTTCGTCATCCGTGAATCGTTTATGCAACCGGTGTTGCAGTCGTGGTGAGATAGATGGGGCTTGACGATTGGCACTGTCTAAATATTGAAAAGTACCAAACAGGTCTGCCACAGTTTCACCGGTCCAATGACCAATTAATTTCGCCCAACACAAACGCGCCTTCGGGCAATCCCAGATTATGTGAGCCAGTGTTTCTTGAACCCCTCGACATGCTTGATGTGCACGGCAGCTATTGTCGTCGTTACGATTCTCATGGTAAAGGTTGAATTGCTTGGTTGCTATACGATAGCAAGTCCACACCTGGTCTTCTGTGAGCCCATGTGCATGTTCCCAACCTTGAGACGGTCGCTGATGGGCTACAGCTCGCTGCCATTGGTCCGTTCTGGTGGTAGCTTCCAGGCGCTGCATCAGTGGTCGTAATTGTAACGGGGCACCCTGAAGCTTGCACTGGTGACAGTACAAGCTACTTATTCTGATGCCAGAATAAGGTGGTGCCTCGTAACTTCACGTACACTCGTACGTGCAGAGGAAGACGGTAAGAAGAAGCGAGTACTTGGTTAAAATAAAAAGTAGAGCTGTATTCAGTATAGTTAATGTCTGCAATAAATCACTATTTATCTTCATCTAACTATGTCTGAATACAAATGTGTAAATCAACTATCTGCTCACCACTCATTGCGTGCGTCTGTCGTGGCGCGTCTTCGTTGGTTGATATAATGGCCTATATCAACCAATTCGGAAGTACTCGTAAGTGCTGTAGAATATTTGTCCTTATGACAATATTCTGAGAATATAACTGTCATAGTTATATTCTACTAACAATTTCTTATAAATTGTTATGTAACGATTCACCCCGTTACATCACCCCCCCCTGGACCATCAGTCACTTTAGTGACTGATTGACTAAATGGATACTCGTCCCAAATCATTTGGGACAGGGTTTGCACTTGTTGGTCCGAGTCCACTTTCCAACAGTTCATCGCATGGTTAACAAGACCATGAGATGTGCGAGCAAGGCCGCCGAGAGCGCGTCCGCACGTCTCTGTGCGGACGCCGAAGCAGTAACCACAGCAACTGATGTCTCATCGGTTGCTGAAGCGACCCAGCCTGTATCACCTGGTGATGCAGGCGCTGGTCATGAAGACACTCGTGTCTTCACAGAGTACGAGCTCGGTGTCTCATACTCTCCTGATACGGAAGACGGATCCGTATCGACGGCGATCGAATCCAAGCCGCCTGCCAAGCGTGGCATGGACGATGCTTTGCGTCGCAGCATCCTTGGTTCATCTGATGAATCAGATGAACCATCGCCGAAGCGAAGGCGCTCGAGGTCGCGAGACTCGGGTGCTAACAGTGGTGTCGGTTCTCCTATGGACACCACTTCGCAACGAGGTGCCAGTACTTCTGTCGGCACATCGCAGGAAGAGCGGGATCGCAATGTCTTGCGTCTCGCTCCCGAGAAGAAGGCATGGACGCCTCTCAAATCTGTCATGGATCACTTGTCGGCCACGACGAGTGATCGTTATCGAACACGGTTGTTCGATTCGTCAAGGATCCATCACCTTGACCCCAGCGCGAAAAACTTTCGCGTTGAGAATGAATTCTTCATCGATGCTTTCTTCAGACATCGATGGTACAGTGGGAATCACAAACGTGATGGTCCCTCACTGCTTCAGGCGTGGAACGCCTACATCCCGAACTTTGAGGATGTAGGTCGTGACGCTTGGAGCGACAAACTTATCAAAGCTCGTGATAAGTTTGAAAAGCGAACCCCAACAGGTGCACGCTACAAGCTGCATCGTCTGTCAAGGGAGAAAGGATTACCCTGCCTCTCATGGGGAGACTCGTGCCCATGTTGTGTGAACAACTCTACACGAGCACCTAAGGAGGCTTACCTCCCTAATAGCCCGTGGTGGCGCGTACGTATCTCTACTGAGATGTACGAAGGGATTGACAACCTGAAATCCTTTCATGACCGTGCCGGGAAGACTTTCTCCGGCGGTCCTTCTGCGGCACAGGATGTGCCGCGTCGTACTGCTCAACCAGACCCAGTACGTCGATCATCAGTTGGGAGCGGGGCTCCCAAGTATCCCAGGACGGGGGATAGCCGCGCCACCGGACGAGATAACTCGTCCGACGTCCGTTCACGTCGCGGTGGTTCAACAGCTGCTCAACCCGATAGAGCTGGCCACCGCGAGAGTCCTCTAATGGAGGTGGAGGATGAGGAAAGACGCTCTCCACACGATCATGTGGATCGGTGTGTTCCCGAGAGCTTCTTTGATCGCGTAACGCAAGGGTTACGCGACGATCTCGAACATGAGCGGAATAGGCGTCTCCAGATGGCGGACACTGCCTCGAAGCACCGAGCTGAGTTTGCCTTTGCTCAGCTCGAGAACGAGAGATCTCTGACATCTCTTCGTGACGAGCTAAGGGTAGCTCGTGGGATTGCTGATCGGTCTCGGGCTGAGATAACTGCTCTTCAGACCCTTGTTGATGCCCACCATCGGGAGCACAAGGCTCTCTGCGAGATGCTTGAGCGCAAGGGCGTTCTTCATCGGAAGAAGCAGCGTACTGATGGTACGGCTTAAGCCGACCAACGTAAAACGTGGGATGCGTTCACATCTTACGTGGTAACTCGATCGTGTATGCATTGCCTAGGCGGTGCAATACACGAAAAGGGCCAATGTACTTGGGCAGTATTTTACTGCTACCCAAGTTAGTCACTACATGCTTTGGTAGATTAACCGTAGACAGTAGGAATAAGTCACCTTCATTGAATAAAAGAGTGTTTGCCCTTCCATTCTTGTCAGCGTTTTGCTTTTGCTTATCCACGGCTTCGTCGATGGAGTCTTGCACAAAACGGACTACCGTTTCACGAGCCAGTATGAACTCATCTGATGACTCGTTAGCTTCAGTGCGCTGTGAGTGCACTGCAGCAACATCAACCTTTTCTTCAGTGAGGGCTTCCGCACTCTCACTGGCATCATCTTCTTCAGTGAGGGCCTCCGCACTCTCACTGGCATCATCTTCTTCGATATCGATGTTATCGATATCGGCATCAAACGCAATGACCTGTTCGTCGGAGCTTGATGAGCGTGAATAAAATCGGTTTTTGCTCGCGCGAGTCTCTCCCCCCCTTAAACCAAAGTTACACTCGAGTAAGGTGGGTACACGCGGATGGCGCAAGCCATTCACGTAAGACGGTGTATGTGTCGTGGACGCATGCAGCGAGTCGTTAATGGCAAACTCTACCACTGGCAAAAACTCACTCCAACTCTTAAAGGAGTGTACGTATCCTCGAAGTATCTCTTCAAGGACACGATTGGCACGTCCCGTCTGACCATCTGACTCTGGATGATCCGGTGTCGACATCTTCAAGCGCGTTCCGAGTGATTTGAACACGAAACGCCAGAAATCAGCAGTGAATCGTGGATCTCTGTCTGATACGAGTTCACGGGGCAACCCATGAAGTCGGAAGATGGTGTCAATAAAGACACAAGCACAGCCACTTGCCGTGATTGTCTCTGGTACAGCCACAAGGTGTACCATTTTGCTGAATCTGTCAACAAATACGAGAATACCCGTATTCCCGCGTGCTTCTTTGGGTAACCCGAAGACGAAATCCATTGAGATGGATTCCCAGCACTCAGCCGGAACCGTTATAGGCTGTAAAGGTGCACGCAGTTAAGGACTTGACTTCACTCGTTGGCAGACTTCGCATGCGCGAACATACTTTCGCACAAACTGATACTGGCGGGGCCAGTAAAAGTCTCGACTCACCGTTAGATTTGTTTTCTCGCGGCCACGATGTCCTCCTATAGGAGCATCGTGATACTCGGACATGATCCGCAAACGCAGATCAGTATCTTCTGGAATGACAAAACGTGGTGTGCCACCAGAAACGGCTGTATTATACAGTAACCCGTTGCGAGTAGTGTATCGATCTGATGCAGATCGATACGCAGACGACAATCGTTTCAACGATTCTCGAGATGGTTGGGAGAGATGTGTCAACAACTTCACTATCTCACCATCTTGGGCGTATGCCCGCCTCACGTCATCATACAACGTTGTAGATGGGACTGAGGACGTCATAACCGCAACAGTGACTGTCTCACTGTTGGGTTTCGCGACTGTTTCAAAGTCGGGACGACGTGAGAGTGCATCAGCGACGACATTAAGTCGTCCTGGTTTGTACTCGACCGTAAAGTTGTATTCTGCAAAGAATGACAACCACCGCGCTATTCGTTGTGAAAGGTGCGGGCTGTTCACTGCCGTGCGTAATGACGCATGGTCAGTGTAAACAACGAAGGGTCTATCTCCTAATAGATAGACTCTGAACTTCGCGAGTGCGTACTTCATGGCAAGTAGTTCCTTGTCATGCACTGGATAGTTCCGCTCAGCTGGTTGCAGCTGACGCGACTGATAGCAGACGACGCGTTCAACGCCTTCAAGATCGTACTGCATTAATGCACAGCCGATTGCGAAATCGCTGGCATCACAGACCACATGAAATGGCCTGTCTTGATCGGCTATTGCTAGGACTGGGGATTGTATCAAGCTCTGCTTGATACCCTCAAAGGAGCGTTGACATTCAGCGTTCCATAACCACCTCTCGTTCTTTTTCAACAAACGAGAGAGGTGCACAGTCATCTCGGCGTAATTGCGTGAATACTTGTGCAAATACGCCGCTAGCCCAAGGAATTTTCGAAGACCTTTGACATCGACCGGCACAGGCCAGTCGGTGATCGCCTTGATCTTTTCGGGATCAGGACGTACACCGTTCTTACCAACGATGCACCCAAGAAGTGGTATTTCGCTTGCTGCAAATATACACTTCTTGAGGTCAGCATACAATTGATGCTTTCGCATGATTGTAAGAACTTGTCGAACGTGGTACCTGTGAACCTCAACGTCCGACTTTCCATCCATAGCTCGACTATGGATGAATACGTCATCGAAATAACTCGGCGCGAATTCTCGTACTGGCCTCAACAGATGTGATACACATCTGTTGAACGTGATGTGTATCACATCTGTTGAACGTGGCAGGGGCATTACTGAGCCCTTGTGGCATTACTAGCCATTCCCAGAGCATGCCGCTAGGCGTGCTCACTGCGGTATAGGGTATATCCCGTTCCCGCATTAGGATTTGATAGAAGCCATCCATCAAATCCATGGACGAAAAGATGGTACTCTTTGACATACCATCAATGATTACGTCCTTCCTCGGTATCGGCGTCTGAGCCGGTACCGTTGCAGCGTTCAATTTGTTAAACGCGTGCACTATCCGCCACCCTCCTGTTGCTTTTCGCACACAGAAGGTCGGAGAGCTATGTGGGGAAGTTGATTCCCTCACATGGCCCGCAGCTAAACGATCGGCAAAGAACTTGTCGATCGCAAGTACTTGTTCACGAGGCAGTGGCCACTGCTTCATGACACAGTACTTCGAGCCTGGTTTAAGCTCGACCTCGTGTCGAATACCTTTATCCTTCGGTAATTCGCACGGAACAGTTTCAGGGAATACATCCTTGAATTCAACCAAATCTTCATAGAGAGGATTTTTCTTGAGCGATTCCCACGATTGGGAGTCATATCGCTCAATTCGTGTCTTTTCATCGAGGACACTCTCGTCCATAGATGAACTACTGAGAACTCTCTCGTTCTCAGTAAACACTGTTGCTGACCTTATGTCGGCTACACACTCGTCGTCAGCGACGAGTACGCAGATCTGCTTGACTTTGCCACTACGCAGATCACGCAAGAACCATTTATGTTCGAGCATTGGCAACTGAGTGATCTCCGAAGTTAACTTCGGAGGCGCAATCAGATCAAGTGTATAAGCGCCTACACATGACCCGTTATTGACTATGACATTCAATGTCTCTGTCATTTCCTGGGGACTTATTCCCTCAGGCTCCGAAGGACTTATTCCTTCGTCTTCCCGGGGACTTATTCCCGCGGGTTTTGGGGAACTTATTCCCGCCGTATTTGTAACATCGGGACTTATTCCCTTTACTTCCTCTAGCTGGGGTTGCGCAACCACAGCGAGATCCTCTACGAAAGACTCTCCAGTCGATCTAGGATTATCGTTTCGCTTAACCTGAGCGATCGATTGTTTCTCTTCTAGATGTTCCCCGCTAGGGATACATCTTTGTCCCGGTTCTCTCGATTTAATCGAGTGGTGGACCTTCGGCGCAGCCTGTGTTTCCTCACAGCCGCCGGAACCTTATTCCGAAGTGTAACCGTTTGGTACACTAAGGTTTTGTGCAGTCGTACTAACGACCGTACCACAAGTGCGGCCATCGCACTCACTCGTAGTACATCCACACGCTTGTGGACGCTCCAAAACGTTCATCAGATGGCCATCTGATGAACAAGCGGCAGGCATCGTTACTGTCCGATGTTGCCAGTTTACCCGTGGTTCGTACCTTCTGAGCCACGGTATTCCAAGGATGACATCAAATTTGTCATCCAAATTTAATACGATAAAGTCATCGTCACATTGGGTATCTTCTAGCGTATAGTGGATCTTCACTATACGCTTCATGACGGTTACGGATGTGCCTGTCGCAAGACGTACCGTCATCCTCGTAGGAGGCGTGTCACATTCACTGAACTTAAAGTGACCATCTTCTAGCGATTGGCGTCGCACAAAATTGTTGGACGCCCCACAATCGACTAGAGCTCGAAGGGACAACTTATTCGTCACTTCGAGTTTCAAGGTAATGAGTGAGACCTCATTACCTAGAGCAGCAACGCACAACGTTTGTGTGTTGGGAGCAACCTTCATCAAGAGTCCCACAAATTCTCTTGACGTTGCTGGACTAGTAGGGTGCTCCGCACCTACTGATCCTGTCCGTTTTTTTACGGTCCATCCCGTTGTTGCTTCTTTGCACCAACAGCGGACCCTCGTCACTGCCCCTTTCTCATGAATGGACGGTCACTACGCCCAGTGTCGCGAGACACTGGACGAGGGGCACTACACTCGTAAGCGTAGTGTCCTGTCTTTTGACATCTGTTGCATCTCTGCAACTTCTTGTAGCCTGTAGAGCGAACCTTCTCGCTCTCTACATAACAGAGTTCCATCGGCTCTGGACCTCCGCTGTCATATCGTCTCGGTTGACGATATGATGTCGAGCTGGCGCGAGCCTGTCTCAGACTGAAGTCTTCCTGCTCCGCAATGGAAATGGCTTGTTCTAGTGAATCTAGTTCAAGCCGGAACAGGTGAGTCTTGACGGGACAATCCGCAAGACCCTGCATGAACACCGAAACCAACGTGTGTTCATCCACCGGATTGGAACTTATACAACTCGTGCGATGTCGTATATGTTGCGCGTAAGCGTGCACATCACGCTTACCCTGCTTGAGCTTCAAGAGTTCGGTTCGAGCCCTGAGCTCAGCTCTAGGCGGTTCAAACGTTTGTCTGAGCCGCGACTTGAAGACTTCTAACGACCCAAACGCATATGGGTCGTGCAGCTTGAGCCCCAGTGCCCAAGTCTTGGCACGTCCTGCCAGATTTGACTGGGCAAATGCAACTTGCATATCCCCGTCGTCGATGCGACGCGCCCTTATGGCGTCATCCAATTCGACGAACCATCTCAAGAGGGAGTCCTCTTCGACTCCCCTATACTTGGAGATGTCAATCTTCAAAGTCTCGGGTCGACGCGAGTGCATCTACCCGCCAGCAGCAGCCTGCCGCTGTCTCAACAGTTCAAACTGTTGAGCACCTTGGTCTCTCAACAACTCTGCTTGTTAAGAACCTTGCTGGTGAAGCAAGGCTACTTTCTCGCGTTCTGCGTCAAGTTCATTTTGAATGAACTTGGCGATAGTAGCATGCTGGGCATCTCTATTGAGAGCCTCTAGCATGACGCTAACAGCATGGATGCCCATGGTCGAACCCATTCGTTCAACCGCATCCCATTCGACATCGCTCAAATGGGAGTAGCCGTCACGCGTAGCGTGAAAGCTTTGGTCATCTTCATCATCCAACATATTCATGTTAGATGTGAACGTGGTCCTTGTACGGACTACGAAGTGCGACCAGGTGTAACCAGGCACCCTGAAGCTTGTACTGGTGACAGTACAAGCTACTTATTCTGATGACAGAATAAGGCGGTGCCTCAGAACTTCTCGTACACTCGTACGTGCAGAGGAAGACGGTAAGAAGAAGCGAGTACTTGGTTAAAGTAAAAAGTAGAACTGCATTTAGCATAGTTAATGTCTGCAATAAATCACTATTTATCTTCATCTAACTATGTCTGAATACAAATGTGTAAATCAACTATCTGCTCACCACTCATTGCGTGCGTCTGTCGTGGCGCGTCTTCGTTGGTTGATATAATGGCCTATATCAACCAATTAGGAACTACCCGTAAGTGCTGTAGAATATTTGTCCTTATGACAATATTCTGAGAATATAAGTCTTATAGTTATATTCTATTAACAATTTCTCATAAATTGTTATGTAACGATTCACCCCGTTACATGAAAGGTATGACGTCTAAGCCATGACCGGCCATTCAGATCCTGAAGCGCACCAAACCGATGGCCACTCCTCACGATCAATACGTCTGTCTGAGGAAGCCATCTCGGACTGTTGAGGACTAGCCGTGACTCTGCCTTTTTTTGGTTTAGATGCCCCCAGGGAACTGGATCCCCGTCGTCGTCCATGCCATCCGCTTCAGACTGCGAGGTGACGAGGCCCCGTTTTTGCGCCAGCACATTCACTTCCATATAGTCATCGCTGAATACCTCTAGAACCGAAGTCGGCTGCGAAGAACGCAATACCAACGCCTGGCTGTTTTTCCCCATAGTCTGAGTGCACGACTAGCGAGGTTGTTTGGCTAGTGCTAGTCAGAGTGGTTGTAACCTGTCCAGTACCAGATGAAGCCTGCACATATAATGCCGGTTGTGTAGCGCCGGCTACCGCAGGTAGTTTTGAATGCTGTGACAGCTCTGCGTTCGGGCCGTTAAAGTCACCCGTTAGGGATGTCAGGTCTGCCGCGTTGTCCGTATGTAAGAATGCCGAATAATGGCGCCCCTTAGAAACGGAGAACCAACGGCAATGTGTCTGTTACCTCAATTTTAGCCGCTTGAAGATCGTCAAAGCAAGCCGTGATAGATAGAGGGTATTCCTTGACCGTGTCGAATACGCGACCGTGCAGTTGCACCTTTGTTAAGTGATATTTGCGACAGCTCCACTGCTCGCTGTCATCCTCAAAGTGGATGACAAAGATATCCCGCCGCAGAAAAGTAGCGGCCATACCGATTATGTCACTACCTCCCCAGAAAGATTCCGAAACTACGGTATCTATGACAGACGAGGTTGCTGCAAAGTCTGTTAAAAACCACCGCAGTTGAGTTGCCGACTCCTCCCTGGTCATTGTCTGCCACCCGCGTCCAACATTTCTTAACGTATTGACCCTCAGGTCGTGTGGGAGCTGACCTTCCAGATTCAGCAGCCCAGCGTAATTGATACCACGCTTAACACTGGCCGTGAGAGGCTCCATGACCGTGAGTGGTGCGTCCAAGGCGGAATTTGCGACGGCTTGAGCGATTGCCATCGCCAAACAGTTTCCAGTGGCTGGGGTGGCCACATCAGTAAGCCTAGCATACGCTATAAATCGTTCAAATGAAAAGGGCCGATCTCTGGACGAGGGTCCATTGGGATCGACGTGCACTGTCCTTTCTGCTGCTGTTTAACCAGCCGCTTACATATTTTGCGTTCGAGACGTTGTTTGGCTAGGAGCGTCGGTCCCGAGATCTCGAACGCTGTCCCTCGTTGTTTAGAGTCTTTTTGACGGACTCGATCTTCTGAGGATAGGCGAGGCCTTGCCCGCGCGACGTCCGGAGCCATGTTCGGGTCAGACTCCGATGTAATCGGAGAGTCGTCCGTGACACCGTCCGTGCTAGGAGCTTGAGCGGTCACCGCACCGTTCTTCTCCAGCTCCGAACTACTATCTTGTAGGACGTAAAATTCGCCCGAGCTGGGGCTTTCGGTCGATACCGGTGGCTTGCGCGAGGGCCACAGACGCTATCCACATCGGAGAGGACGCGTCAGCCAAGGCTGCTCCGGCCGGGGATTCGGTATAGGGTCCGAGGAGCCTGCTTGCGTGGCAATGGAAGTGTTAACGGGCTGAAGGGGCACCCCGGTGCGCTGAGGCTCCACTGTCGGAGGCGGCCGTAGGGGAGCTGTACCAACTGCCGCCGGTGTGACAGCTGCCTGAGCTGCCTCGTCTGCTGCCCTCTGAAGTTGTAGCCTTTTGCTAGCCATCTCCTGCATCTCCTCCGGGCTAAGGAATGATTTAGCCAAGTCTTCGACGTCTTGAAGCTCAGCCTCTGTGACTTCGATTGCATCTGGCCCCTTTAGTTGGGCATCCGTAGATTGGCACCTGACGGCTGGGTGGCCTATGGTGCCGCACTGTAGGGGTGGAGGCTTCGACACACGTTTGGTTGCATAATGATGATCGGGGTTTAAAACCATAGAAGGCGGACTATTCCTTTAAGAAACGTTGGACATCCCGCCAGAGAAAAGGTAACTTTTCATACTGTAGACGTCCGGGAGGTTGGAGTGCAAGTATCCATATCTTCGAACTCAAAATATGTCGGGATTTTGGACCTGAAGTAAGCCGCTATGCGTCCTACCTCGTTAAATCGTGTCACGTTGTGCAGGAAAATTGTGTACTCAGTACGTGAGTGGCCCTAACGACCATCTGGGCCTCGCTGATTCTGCCAAACTGCCCCCCGCACCGGCTGATGAGCGTTTTCTTACGTGTACACTCAACTTTAAAAGGGTATTTGAACATCCTGAAGACGTTGCGCTGTTTCCCTCGAGAAAAAAGTAGAATTGAATCGTTCGGGATGAGCGACTTAAGCTCATAGCCTTCGTTAATTCCAGGAAGCAATGGAGATCCGTGAGACTGACCCCCAAAAACTCCGCGGATTCGAGTATCATCGCCGTGACACAGTTAGAAGTCTGTCGGCTGATCGGAATGCAACGACCTCCATCAATAGTAAGAACCAGTTGTCCTTCGACCTGCGCCTGGATTGTGCTGTAGAGCCTTAGACGTTCCCCAATATCAAAGACGGATCGTAGAAAAAGTGGCATCCGACGACACGCGATATGTCCTTCAGCTATACCCACGATGACTCGCCATTCGTCGTCCGTGCCTTCTCGTAAGAGATGAGCGCGAGCAGGGCCGAGACGTGCGGTACAAGTGTCTTCGAGCTTGGTTGCCTCTGCCGTGGAACAATTTGCTGGGTTGAACATAAAGTCATCATAGACAATAGACGCGTGCCCCTGCTGCCCTTCCTGGACTGGCTGTGCTCATTGGCGCACCACCCGCGCCCGTGGGTCGAAGACCGGAGCCGTGGCCCACTTCTGTTGGCTGGCTAGCTTTCGAATAATCTCTTTAAATGAATACTTGGTGAGCAGAATATCTTTACCTATCTTGGTAGCAAGTCTCGTCCAATCGACTTATGTGCCGGAACTCCGAGCAAAACACTGCCGAAAAATCGAGGAGACCGTCCAACTCCGGAATTTTTGGCTTTGGAAAGTGTTTCCGCTCTTGCGGTAGAGCTTCTGTGCTAACCGGAAGCCGAGAAAATTTGTGTTCAAACAGCTTTTGAACGGTCTGACGCGATACATCGACGTACCCCGGCTCGGGTGATGCCTTCATCTCTTCAACTAGGGCACCAAACATGTCTCAGGGGGACGCCGGAGAAGGCGAGGTGTTGAAAGCCGACGCTTCCGATTGAGTCGATTGGCCAGGTGTCGGGGCTCGCGACGGATCCAACAGCGGATTCTCTGACCCAGAGGTTGCCGCGGCTCGCGACGGATTCGACGACGGATTCTCTACTTCAGCGGGTGGCGAAGCTCCGGAGAAAAGCCGGGATACGTGCGTGAGCTGACATAACTTGTGGCGGGGATCTGGTCGACATGGCACGCTTTAGGTGAGTGTCAATGTCGGTGTCCCCAACTGCCTCCGGGGCAACGGCTGGTGCGAGATTGTCGGTCGGATGTGGCGCGATGCTCGGCTTACACTCCCCCGTTACTGGAGCCGGAGGCAGTGCTATACTGCCATCACTTTCGTGAGGTGCGGTCCACCGAGATTGGTCGCCCCCTCCCCCATCGGGAGGGGGGCTTGGTGACGGCTTTGTATCCGTCGTTCGAAATATGCTGGCTGGCGCCAGTAAACGCCTTTTTTATACTCCCCTACCTACTTACTGCAGATTGAAGAGTGTTTCATTGGTGTGGGTTGTACCGAAGTGTACAGCAGTATGTGGGAGAGTGAACTGATTGTAAAACAGAAAAGGGACGACCGAGGGATCGAAGTGCATCGCCTGGTAATGTGCAATTGACATACCCATTTCAGATTATAGCTATGGATCACTTCCCCTCGTTTCCAAGATCGTTATAGGAAACAACAAGCTGCTGCTGTGGGTCGATCTATTCTCTGGAAATGTAATCGCATAGGCAAGCTCGTCCAGGTCTGCCCAGACAATCGCAGAAAACTACGAGGAGTGTGGGATCCGACAATTTCGGGCGGGTGAGGCAATACGCCACGATTTTAAGCCAGGATTTATGTCTGATTTCTTCTGAGCATTCAATCGGATCGCAGGACAAAAAAACGGGCCACAATGGCGTATAGAACGCAAGCTAATGGTACGGCCGAACACATGGTGCAAACGCTGACTAAATCGATCAGGATGTATGTTATGGACGAGACTCAAATGTACTGGGACAAATGTGCGGACCTATTGACCAGTGTGATCAAACCCGCTCAAGAACGAATTCAAGGAGATGCACCATTATACTTGATTCATGGTTGGGATCCAAGATCGACCTTAGAAGCTATTTTACCGTTGGGAAGCACCGAGCCCCAGGATCGAGATGCCCAAAGATGGAGATATGGTATACAACGCCAATACCAACGTGCTCGGTTGCTGGTAAACAACGATTAAAGGCTGCGATAAGAGGTCGAGCCGATCGGCACGATGAAGATCGAGATTCACTATCGACCGCGGTTCGCAGGTTTGGCTATACCTAGACCGGGTCAAGAAAGGATATGCTCGGAAGCTAGCTCATATGTGGCATGAACCTTTCCGAGTGGCCGAGAAGTGCGGCGATCACGCTGTAAAGTTGGAAATCGCAGGCACGTCGTACCGGCTATTTCCAATAATCCACTTGTCTAAGCTGAAGCTAATTCAAACATATTTCCAGAACGCCTAACAGGTGAGCTGAATGTGGGCAAGGCGAGTCAATTTAATTTTGACGAAGCGTTACTGCCGGACGACAGCTGGGAGGGTGACCCTGACGCGAGTGAGTTTGAAGTGGACAAGATTGTCCAGGTGCGATCGGGACGAAAGACGAAATATGAAAGAATATAAACAGTACCTAGTGCAATGGAAGGAGTACAGCGACCCGACCTGGGTCGATGAAGCTGATATAAAATTGTGGAGCTATAATACAAGAGTTTGATCGCGATCGGGTGAGCAGGAATCGTTTTCAGATATTGCAATAGCGCGAAGAAGAAGATGGAGAAAAGCAACGATCGGAGAGCTTGGTTGGATGGGTTATGCAAAGAAAGCGCATGGACAAAAGGGAGAGTTTTGGGCGCAAAGGGTTTGCACATGGAGATGGAATGGAATCGATAGAAATTGAACACGACGATCGCAGACAATTGGTGCGATCACGAAAAAATAAATGGAAGAAATAAGAATTATGGGAGCGACCGAGTGGACATGAAAAAAATGGAAAGATCGCGACATGGAAACTGACCTTAGAATTTTTCATGGTCAAAGAACTTACCAACCAATGGAGGGAGAGACGAACTAGGGTGAGAGGCGATTCGGCCACGAAATTGTTTCCTCCAACGATCTGCAGAATGATCGATCAATAGGGCGGTGATCAGGTCCGGTAAGTTGGCCCGCTTTACAAACAGGCCGGGATACCACACTCTGTTTTCGTTATGACGAAGAAAGTGAAGGAACACTGGATCCAACAAGATGTCAAGATCGCAAAACCCGTCGATCATTTCCTGCAAAATCACCTGTAACACCCTTTTTCATCGCGGGCCAACACTAAATCTTCGCTGCCTTCTTTCTTGAGCAATAGCAGCCAGCCCTGGGTCCGATTTGCGCTGCGCAGGGAAAATATACAAGAAGTGTGTCGACTCCCACAAAGCTTGACGATGGCTCTCCGAGAAACCTTGATACGCGTCATACAGTTTCTGGAACCACCCGTAACGTTTAAATGAGATTAGGTTTACAATCTGATCGTACGCATACCACGGTTGCTTATCGTAGAGCTGCTAAATTATGGTGGGGGTGACCAGATGGGAGGATCAAGAAGACTTCGGAGGAGCACGGATCTTGCCTTAGGTTACCAAGAATGTACATCCTTTTGGTTCGGAAAAATTGCGGAAAAAAGTGTTAATGTCCAGCTTCGACGATGGTTAAACTGATTCTTCTAGCCAACCAAGGAAATACGTCCACGGCCAATCGCGGAACCGATCGCGATACGTCGGAATCCAGCGATCGCGAGGTACGTGGGTGTCATTAAGCGCCGGAATTGTTGCAGGAGACAACAGTAGATAGCAGAAACTCCGAGGATCACTCGAAAGGCTAAGAGCACCGTCAGAGTCACTAGCATGTTCTCCAAACAATTCCGTCATTAATACTCGCCCTGGCGGTATCAAAGATTAAGGTATTGGACTAGGAACATCGATGTTGATCGGCGGCAATTTCTTGGAAGGTGACGAATTTTTGGAATGAGACGAATTCCTGGAAGGCGACGTAGCTCTACGTCACGCGGCAGAGCGAGATGATGAAAGCGCCGCCAAAAGTAAATCATCAGTCTCCGCGGAAGAAGAAAAACAGTGGTCGTCACTCTCCGATCCCTCGGACGGCACAGATCGAGAACCAAACAGGTTAGGGGAAGCCGATCGAGGTGGAGACTCCGCACGATCGCTGGCCTCCGATCGCTTCGACTAAAGCGACCGGGAGACCGATGGTTCAGACAGATTCGATCGACCCGGCGACGATTTGGCACGACGAACTCGCTTGGTTATTGGCTTCCCGGACTTGGAGGCAGGGGGCGATGTAACGGGGCACCCTGAAGCTTGTACTGGTAACAGTACAAGCTACTTATTCTGATGACAGAATGAGGTGGTGCCTCGGAACTTCACGTACACTCGTACGTGCAGAGGAAGACGGTAAGAAGAAGCGAGTACTTGGTTAGAGTAAAAAGTAGAACTGTATTTATAATAGTTAATGTCTGCA